TCGCCGCTAGTCGAGGTTATCAGAATATTGATTTGTTTTTCACTGCGTGACAACATTGATGTGTGGCGCTTAACGCTAGCCTACACAGCGCACTTGAGAGGTCAACAGCCGTTTGTGACTGAGAGGACAGATGGACCTGTACCGCGGGAACAGGTGAGCAGCCAGCCTCCTGGGTGAGTCTGGCCTGACTGTAGTGTGAGAACAGTGTGAGAAGACAGCCTCCGTTGTAGTCAGTGCTCGGTCGGTTCAGTTGGTCATTTGCTAAGCGTAATAAATAAACACATAGGTCTACACAATCCCTTTCGTCCTAGAGGCGTCCTACAGAATATTTCTCTTTGTCCCAAACACATTTCCTATCGTGCCCAGGACGACGGGACGCCGTTAGTCTCGAGCCCTGTCCAGCGCCATGATCAGGTCAAAATTTTAAGTTGTTCAGTACTTTGGTTTATGACCGAATATCTGCAAACAATGACTCCCATCCGCCAGCTGAAACCACACGTGGGACTGAGGAACCCCTGTCTGTGGTCTAAGAATCATTCACCCGCCATCCACCCAACCTCCCACCTACAACAAAACATAAAAGTATTACCACTGAACTTAATACAGGTAGCAATTGTGTTGCAAATGTTTCCCTGGAAATGTATTAGGCAAAACCAATTAGTCTTATATATGCAATTCCTAAGAGACGGCGTTGTACACTGGGGCCTCATTGTGTTTGTGGTTGTGCATCAGTGTATGGAAGGAAATGTACTTGTTTTGAATGAAATTATTCTGGTTAGTAAATTCTCTGCAGTGTGACTGATATGGAGAGTTACTCATGTTAAATCAGATTTTGTTGTCTTTCTGGCACCTTACCCTCTTTTAGACCTTAGTGACCTCTGACAGAGTTTAAACACTGGTTCTTATTTGATCCTCAAAACAGGATCAGATAACATACAAAATGTTAAATGTGTATCTGCCGCCGTATCTTTCCAGCTGACGGAGACATCTGCTCGGTACGCTCGTAAGATTTCTGGCACCACAGCGCTGCAGGAGGCTCTGAAGGAGAAGCAGCAGCACATCGAGCAGCTACTAGCAGAGCGAGACCTGGAGAGATGTGAGGTCGCAAAGGCAACCAGCCACGCAGGAGAGGTGCAGCAGGAGCTGACTCTGCTGAGGAAAGGGAGGGATCAGGTCAGATTCATGCACACGTGGATGTTATCTGCAGACAAGAACATGGGAAAGCTCTTATGAAGACTGTAATTCCATATTTTCATCCGTGTTTGTTCAACACAACTCAAACAGGAGAACTGCTTAAATCTGAATACTGACTTAAATTTGTAAATAGGCTCCAAACTGAAGGTCATGTTGCTGTGTGTCTGCAGAAATTAGAATGATTCAGCTGTTTACTGCAACTTTTGAAGACCATAATATGTCAGGGCTTGTGTTTTTGTGAGTTTGCTTTGGGGGTTTTCCTTCTCACTGGTGGTCAATATTTACTTAATGCACCTTTTGAAGAAATACTTTTTTTTTTATCTAGTCTCGGACTGCACAAATATATCTATGACTAACAAACACATTTTAGGCTTAAATCTTACTTCAGTCAATAATAGCTACTAACACCCATGGTGCGTGACAAAAACAGAGGGCTGTTACCTGAGAGATCGACTTGTAACCAATCAGCTCCGTTGGCGGGACAGTGAGCAAGACTCCAGAGTGGTGATTAACAGAGAGAGGTTACATAATGCATTAAAGTCTTTCACAAAAATTATTGAACAAATAATTATTGAACAAATCGCAAAATCATGTACACTGTAAAATGAGAACTATACACCTCTATGTCCCAAATAAATATGGAGTCTTAAACAACATTTTAAAGAAAATATCATCAATGCGGGGGAAAAGTGTGACCTAAACGCCGGGGATTAGAGCTTAGTGTTGCCGTGACCAACATCTAGTTTTTGGTATGCATTAATCAAGTCGTCTCTTGTTATATGTTGTTAGTGTTATTCATTCTGTGTGTTATAGTATGCAGTGGAGATGGAAGCAAAGTTGGATCAGCTACGTTCGCTGGTGGAGGCAGCAGATCGAGACAAGGTGGAGCTGCTCAACCAGCTGGAGGAGGAGAAGAGGTGGGTGGTCTGACTTCACCTGCAGCCCGCACACAATACTGTTTATGGAAAGTCATAAATGTGTTTCATTTATCACTGTCTAATATGTACAGCAGAGGTACTCTTAGAAGAAATGTTATTATCGTCCCTGTTTGACAGAAAAGTGGAAGATCTGCAGTTTCGTGTGGAAGAGGCATGCATCACCAAAGGAGACCTGGAGGTATCTTGTGGTTATATAATCTGGTTCTCAATTAAACATATTCTCTCACTCACTCAAGCTATAAAATTCCCACTTGTCAGGCTGATGCTTTCTTTAACAATTTACGTGTGAATTATTGACAAACTTGTTTGATAGTTGATTAACATACTTTTCATTACCACCCCCACGTTGTTCTTATTAAAAGCAGTCAAAATAATGTCAACCTCAAGCCCTCCTGTGTACCAGTTTGTAATGAACACCTGAGTTTGATCTCTTTTGTTTTTTAATGCTCTGTTTATATTTTGTGAAGTACCACATTAAGTAACTTAAAGTTGCAAAATAATTGGCCGTGAACTTGTATTAGTGCTTCACATTTTCCTCTAAAAATATATGAGCTGATGATTTAACCAATCGTTCTTACCCTGCACTCTTTGAATCATTCATTTGCTGCCTCCTTCAGACAAGTCTTTCTCCCTGCTCATTTTATTTATTCGTTCATGCTTAATTCACGTACGCTTCCTCTTTATCCACCCATCTGCAGCACTTACATTAACATCCTCTCGTCATCCTTTCACCCACATGTCTGTTCCTGAATGCTGTTTTTGTCCTGATTTGCCTTCAGTCTTTTTATATGCTTCCATCTTTCACCGTTGTCTGCATCTTCTTCACTGTTCAGATGAATTAGTGCCTAGTCGCCTTCAAGTACTGGAATACAAGCAAACAAGTGCAAATAGAAGTATCTGAGAGTCAGAATGAGATGATTGAAATAATCAACTCCTGATATTCCTCAGAGCAGAATGAGCAAATAACAATCTTTCCCTTTGTTCATATCCATCTGATGTAATTGAAATACTGGAAACCATCAGTGCTTCTGTACTTACTGGCCTTCTCTTTAAAGTCTTGTCTTGTCTTCCTGTTTGTGGCACAAAGCTGACAAGTTAGTGTTGCATTGGTGTTTGTTCTCCTTCTTTTCCTGCTCTCTCTTACTAACAGACGCAGACCAGACTGGAGCATGCCCACATAAAGGAGCTTGAGCAGAGTCTGCTCTTTGAAAAGACCAAAGCTGAAAAACTCCAGAGGGATTTAGAGGACACTAGGGTAATGCTCGCAGTCCTAGTCCCACAGCAGGACTAAGTGATGTGCTTTTCCCTTACTAGGTTTAATAATGATGCACAGAATATATTGATGGAACCACAGCGTGCAAACATTATGCAAATTATCAGAATTATCAAAAGTTGCTTCCCTCCTCCTGGCCTAGTCCACAATCAGCCCCGGAATAGAGACTAACATCTCATCAGCCTTGAGCTTTTCTAGTAACCCGGGTCTGTCATACTGAAAGTTATGCATGTGTGCATGAAATTCTTTTTCTAAGATAGTTTGGAAATGCCTGAGCTTTTGAGAATGCTGGCCTTCATTTTTCTAATTCAGCAAATCCCATGAAAAGACCAAAACCAACAGCATGTTAGTCTGGCTTTTAATACTTTCCAACTTCTCTATCCTGTCTGTTTTCTTACTGAAGATGTAAAACTTTAACAGCTGGCAACTTTATTATTTTAAAGTCCCAGTTATTTCCTAAAACAGCTGTAGTTTTTAGCAAATGTTACTTAGTTGGGAGGAAATAGAGCATTTGATGGGACTTTTTTTAGGAGTGGATGAATCCACATGTGGTGCTCTAGTGACTGTTTGGTGCAGCAGGACAGTGTATGTAGGACTGAGTCAGAATAAACTACAGTGTGGTGTGTTCATGGTGATGAAAGAACAGTGAGCCAGTGCAGCAACAATGGCAATATCTATGGCTCAGAGTGAGAAGATATATCAGGCTTTGATGTACACACAATACCTGTTAAGAGCATACATTCTGTTAAGGCAGGAGAAACCACTGGGGCAAGGACTCAAAGGTACAACCTCGATTCAGAAACACTTTGGTACACATGTAGGTAGTCAGTAGAAGATGACAAATAATCCAACAGGGATAAGGCTAAAGCTGGTCATATCAAAAAACTAGGAAGAGTACACATAGAGAAAACGCTGGAACGCTAGACAACAAAGGTTACTAAGACGAAGGGGAACAGATAGACTAAATACACTAGATGGTGAGGATAACAAGGGACAGGTGGATGTAATTATGGTGGGGCAGGTAATCTCACAGGTAGGAATCACACAAGGACAGGAAGTGAAGTGGTCTGAAACAAGAGGAAAGGTAAGTAACAAAATAAAACAGGAAAGAAAATGGAATGGAAGAAGTCTAAGAAGCATGACGTGGCGTCTCACATTCACTGTTGGTTTTTGTCTTTTCATGGGATGTATTGACAATAAGAAAAATGTGGAACACTGCCATCCTTTATCTTTTAACCAAAAGGTCTAAACTTTGACTTGTCTTTAAGTCAAAGGTCAAAGTCTCCTACAGAAAACAGTGAATCCTTAATTGCACCAGATTCTCTGTTGGTGGTTCAAACAGCGCTCTGGTACTCATTCAAAATAAGTGTGGTTTGTTTTAGCCTGGATGACATCAGGGTTTACAGGTCAAAGATCTTGCATCCTGCCCCATGTGTCAATGGAACGTGAATAATGGAAAGACAGATACCTATTTTTTGACATATCAGCGGATATTCTTTTCCCCCCCTCCTTTTCAGAAACACATAAAATAAACAGAGATCATTCCTAACATTTGTTATGTGTAGTTATGAGACCTTACCAAGATAACAAGACATAATGCAGTTTAAAATTAAACTTTTTTTATTGTTATAAATAGTACACTGAACAAAAGTACAACTGATTATGTCATAGCTGTGTGTTGCCATCAGGGGACTTGCAGAGCTCTCTCCTACAGACGAACTGCAGCAACAACTCATACCATGATTGACGGATCTGTCTCTCCGTTTCTTTTTTAATTGTCATTTACCGGCTGTTATAAACACTGTTAATATCGGCACACTGATGTATTGGTCGGGCTCTTATAGGAAGCAGGAAAACCTATTCTTTTTTGGGGGGGTTTACTTAAATATCCAGTCTTTGACTTCCAGCTATTTGACAAGTAAAAACTTAAATTATTTGTTATGTTGAAGGGTTAATTATGTGCATTTTATTTTGGAATATATAATTTATTTTGGAATATATCTATCTATCAATGTAGATAATTAAATTAGTAGAGTTTTAGACCTTAAACAATAAGCCTATTCATTGATTTTTGATAATGGATTACTGGTTTAAGTAGTTTATTAAGCTAAAATGCCAAAAATTGGCTGGTACCATCTTTATTAATTTCAGAGACTTTACTTTTCTTTTTGTTATATTTAGTTTTTGTTGGTTGGATAAAACAAGCAAAATGAAGATGTCAACTTGGGCTCTGGGAAATTACGTTTCAATCATTTTTCACAATTTTCTTATGTTTTATAGAGAAATCAATTACTCTAAAAATAATCAGTCTCTAGTTGAAGCCCTACAATATTGACATATTGCATTTTTGCATTAATCTGTGCTTTAATCACTTTAAGTTACAGTAAATCAAAATACATCACTGTGGCTGAAAACGTTGCCATGTCATTTTGATACAGATGAATCCCAGATCAGGTGAAAGCTTCTGCACATACTGTATTTGGTTCACTGTATACAACCCAGACACACTGTTTTTACATTACTACTCTCCTCTGTCAACTCTCCTGTCTCCTCTTGGCCTTCACGCCTCCTTTCTACATCTTCTGCTGCAGGTGGCCACGGTGTCTGAGCGCTCCAGGATTATGGAGCTGGAGAGGGAGGTGGCAGACCTCCAGCTCAGGCTCCGGGCATCCCAGCAGAAGGAGGATGCTGCGTCTCTGTCCCAGCAACAGATCAGCAGCCTCAAAGCCCAGGCACAGTCTCAGGAGAAAAAGGTTTGTGGAAAGCATCAGAGAAGTCCCAGCGTTGGTGTTTTTGTTCAGCTAGGTCTGGGCAGCAGCTACATGATACCCTCTGCTTATTATCATATAATTTATGGCATGATGTAAAACTGAAAGAATTGGTGTAATTTCTATTTACCATCCTTTTAGCCCCTAATGTAAATAGACATTTGACCTTTTTATGTGGGGTTTGTTAAAGCTACTGTGATGATGCATAATTTATGGCTCTACTATGTATATATTGTATGTTCTATACTGTGTGTCCCCATCAGATCAGTGAGCTGAGTGTCGACGTGGAAAGCAAACAGAAAGAGCTTCAGTCTCTGCAGCAAGATAAGAGCTCTCTGGAGCTGCAGCTAACCAGCCTGGTAAGAAAGGAAGAAATTCACTACTTACTTAATGGATGTTTGGGCTTTTAAACATACATCTCTGGTACGCAAACCCCCATTAAGCAATGCATGTTATTAAGAAAATGTGATGTCACTTTTATAACTCGGTCTCATGCATGAATAACCATCTGAGTCACTTTCATGCAAAAGTCTGTGTTGAACATGTAACAATGGCTGCCAAGCCCCTCCCCCCTGCAGTTACTGTTGTTACTCCTGTCGTTAAGCGTTTTTTTTTTTTGTCACTATTAATTGGCAAAAGTTTTGCAACATTAAACAATGACCCCAACAAAAAAAGGACAGATTTCCATCGTACATACAGTCCTGTTTACTGGTTTGTTTGCAGCTCTGCTCCGATGCCACTGTTTTGAGTTTTGTATAAAATGATTTTTCTTGCTTCTTGTAGTCTCAACATACATTAATATGCTTTCTGCAATGGTTTTTAAACACTGGTCCTTTGTTGGTGGCACTGCTTTTACCCCAGTTCTCTGTAATTGTTTGGGTTTGTGGCTGAGAGGATTTAGATGCAGACACAGAGGCAGTTGTAAAAGAAGAAATCACAGAGGAATTATTGAGATACATATAATGAATGTGCAAAGTGTTCCTCAAGGCGGTGAGGGTTAGGTTTACAGGGTCTCTGTGAAAAGGAAGGTGGAGTTGGGGCTAAAACCAAACAAAACCAAAACTAGGACCAAAAACCTGGGGCACAAGAAAGACAGGGTGTCACAAACTTAGCTCTTTCTAAAAAGACGTAGCAAGTGTAACACTGGAAGTGAACAGATGATCTGGCAAAGACTGAAGGGAAAAGCCAGGGTTTGTAACCACTGGGGGTTTATTGTGGGATGAGTCTCAGGTGAGTCGAAAAGCCACAGGTGGTTTGATGATTGGCACAGACAAGGGGAGTGCAGCACCATGCCCAGACACACACAAACAAACAGAAGACAGACAGAAATGCTGGGAGTGGAAAAACATAGGAAACACTAGGAACTGGATTGGTGGCACAACCAGTAACGGCCTTTTTACTCGCTACTAACTGAATTTTAATAAAATATCACTCACTTCCCCATCACATTTTCTTCAGAGAAATTACGGAGATAAAGTACCAAACAACTCTTAGAGACCATTTATCCTAGATTTTTTTTCTGGTGTTTCCAAACGACATGTTTGGAAAGTTATCTACATAATAATGAGAAGACGATTTATCATTGAAATTCCTTGATTCTTTAATCAATAGTTTTTGGATTTCACACAGAAGTAATCAGCTTCTCAGTTCAAGCTGGTGACCAAGCATACAGTATTTTACTAAAGAGCTGTTGCTAGCTATCTAATGAAGCTAGCATTAGCTCTACGAGTTTGTTATAGACAAACTATAGTGTTTAAAAGTGAAAACAACCTAATGTTTCACTCTAGTGTGTCTTCATCAGAAAAAAAAGACTGCATGTCTCAGGAAAAAAGTCATCATCCTCATCAGTTGATGATTAATTTAGAAGACATGGACTTATGTTATATAATAAAGGTTCTTGTATTGAAGTGTAGAGCTGATTATTAGTTTCATTGAGAAGCTGGAACCAGTGGGTTATTTAATTTTATTCAAAAATGACTTAATTATTAATGTTAATGTTTATAGCTTTTCTGTTGATCAATTAATCCCCTAACTGTTTCAGCTCTAGTACTGTCCCAGAAATGTTGTTAGTTTCTGACTTAGTATTACTGCCATCATGACCTTTACAGTTTGTGACTCTGGGGGCTGACATGTAAAATTGCCAGCAGATTTCTTTAATGAGGTGCATGTCTGAATGGGCCCCAGATCCATTGCTTTACCAGATAATTGAAGCCAGCTAAGAAGTGCATCTCTGTGAGGGTCTAATCTGATGCGTTTTGCTTGCGGGCATCGTGAAAGTGGCCACATTAAGAGAGGCATTTTATCCTCAAACCTCGCATAGTTTCTGGGCCCAGTCATTATTCTCTAGTTAGCTCAAAGTATAAGAATGTTACTATGTAAGTGATTAGCTCGTAGTCAAGCTGATGTTTCTCCATTTCAGAGAAAAACGCTTGAGATAGCTGAGGAGGAGAACAGGAGTGCAGCAAAGAACATGCAAGGTAAACATTTCAGATGTACCGCAACTGCTTTGATGCTCATTAGAAAGTATGTTTATTATGTTTTTCCTGTGTCAAGATGATTGTGATAGTTGATGTTGTGTTTTCTGCCAGAATTGGAGCAGAGTGTGGAGCAGGCAAAGAAAGACTACCAAACCTTGAAAGAGGAGAGTCAATGCAAAGAGAAAGAGCTGACACAGGTAGGTTTGCACACAAGTCAGTGGTTGAAAACAATTGAGTAATTTTATTTTGTGTGTGTGTCTTAGACGTTACTGTGTGGTGATAAATAGGGCAACTATTGTTTTCATTAATCGACTAATCGTTGAGTCTATAAAATGTTGGAAAATTGTGGGAAAAATGCTCATCACAATTTTCCAGAGCCTAAAGTGACATCTTCAAATTGCTTCTTTTATTCAAACAGTCCAAAATCCATTTACTATAACTGACAAAGAATAGCAGCATTGTTTTTACATTGAAGAGGATTAAACCAGCAATGTTTCACATTTTTGCTTAATAAAATGACTGAAAGGATTAATCGATTATCAAAATAATCAATAGTCAATTAATTTTCTTTAATTAATGGACTAATCGTAAAACTAGCTGGCTGTATATAACGTAGTTCAAACTAGTTAATTATATAAAGTAGTTCAGTTTAAATTTCTAAAGATGGCTATGGCCTAACTTTAGACTATTTACCTTACTTTAAGGTTTATCAAAGTCTATCAGCTGTAGCTCAATTCGTAAGGATTAGGCTGGGAACCGGTGGGTCGTGGTTCGAATCCAGCTCGGACCAGAGTTGCGGAGCGTGGACTGGTAGCTGGAGAGGTGCCAGTTCACCTCCTGGGCACTGAGTGGCAGGCCCCTCACTCTCTGTGTGTTGCTATGGGTTCTGTTTGTGCATGTGCATGTGTGTAAAAATACTAATATAGTAAATATCATCTTCTTCTTCTTCTGTCAAGAGTAACATAGCTAGCTAGCCAGCTAGCTGGCAGTATCAAAGTAAACAAGGGTCCTAGAAATGCAAATCCGGTCGTAGGATTGTGGTCCTGAAACTGGAGCCTCCAGCTACATACTACTCTTTCGCTTGGGTATTCAGTCGAGTGCAGTGTGCAGTCTCACCACTAGATGTCACTAAAGTTCTCACACTGGTCAATGTAAACAATGCAGCTTTTAAAGCATTTTAATAAAATGTTTTGCAAATGTTTGATGGCCTGCTTTCAATGTATTTGTGAGACCTTAAAATTACATACAATAGGTTTTGGTCAGAAATTAAAACTGATTGTGTTTACAGGGGAACATTCTGTAGGGTACTTTTAAGTACTGTTGTCAAATATTCCCTCCAGAAATAGCGTTACTATACCTCGTATACTTATTCTTGTGTGCCACCCCTGTGTACCTGTAGACAAACTCAATGGCATGTTTCAAGCTACAGGAACATTCTCCTCATCTAGTATTTATGCTCTTATATTTCCAGTAGTCAGTGTTTTGCAGACGTCTTAGCAGGAGGTGCATAAATGGGGTGATAACAGAAAGAGTGGAGCATAAAAGCTCGGCTGTTGTATTGCAGCAGCAGTGAATGCAGGGTGTCCACTCTTTTTACTGTTGTAATATTTCTGAAAATACCTCAGTACAAATTACAGTTTGCAGTTATAAGGGAGTATTTTGTTTTCTTTCCCTGAAGTCAGAGCTTTCATACTTGTGCTCTCGCTTCACGGAGCTCGTTACAAATGGATGTAAAAGTGAAACAGCTGAACAAGCTCGAGGCAGACCCAGTAAAGACCTGTCTTTCCTTTTTTAGCCAAGATGTTTAATGACCTCTGGTAATGGAATGCTGTTTTTTACGCGACGATGTCTATTTTGACTTAAATCTTAAGTTTAGAGTGATCTTGATGTTTTGTGCCTCTGTACAAAACAAGAAAAAAGAAAACCTATATAAGATTAAATGATGCGAAGGGGGTCGCATGTAGTGACAGACCCGCAGAGAATTACCACCTGCTTCTGCAGCTATAATTGTTTAGATTTTACGCCCCGCACCTTTACTGTTTTTTATTACAGTACTTTCACAGCTGTCATCAGCGCTGTTTCCTGTAGCCACCAAATGTTTACAGCGGGAAGCTCTAAAATACCACTGTACACTAACTGCTCAGCAGCAAACTGCAGACAGACACAGTTTCACTTCCTGTCAGAACAAACAGGAAAAGATGGAGTCCACAACACACTCAATTAATCCCTAAAAATAGATAAATTATAACATAAAAAGCCAGATAACACACAAGATTAGCGAGGACATACAAGAATAATTTCTCATGCACTGTTTTTAATTTAATTTTAGCATAACATGTTCAGTTTAACACGTTCATAACAAAAAAATGATTGAATGAGTTGAAAATGCCTTTTGTATGTCAACAAGAAAACTGTTTCTATTGATCACAGAACAATTAAGTTGTGTTCTCAGGAAATCAAACTTGTGGATTGTAATGTACTAAATCATCTTTGTGCACTGGATATTACCAAACCACGTGGAGCTAAATTTTGTCAATATGTTTTCCAGGCTATTGAAAAGTCAGAGATGACGAAGCTGTCGCTTGAACAGCTGACCAATGAGAAGAAGACACTTGAGACACAGGTGAGCAGAAGGTCCTGATAGAAAATATGTATGTTAATCTTCAGCTACAGCAAAATACTGAAAGTTCCCACTGCCACTGAAGTACCCAGGGTGTCATTTTATTCCTTCGCTTCTCTTTCATTCAACAAATGATTATTTGCTAAGCCCTCCTGTCAGTCTTTCCACTCCTGTATATATGCTGTTTACAATGATGCTGGCAGATTTAAACACAACAAAAGCAAAAAACAACAAAAGCCAGGTAGGATGTCAACTGTTGCTGGCAGATTTTCCTCACCAGTGTAGAAAACATGGAAATAAAGACACATCATTGCTCTTGTATGTCAATGTGTAAATCTAGTGTTATAACATCAAACTCTTATTCCATTTTAACAGGACCCTGTTTGGTTACTTAGCTTACAACCATGGACAAGCAAGACAGTTGTTAGATTTATCTTTTAGTGTTCATATTTTCAAATGTGTGTGTTTCACAAAACTCTTTTAGGATTATTAATATCCTCTTTACGCTGGGATTGCTGGGTTGTAAACTTCGCCAAATCCAGTAAAGAGCAGGACTGAGTCGCAAAACGTCACCCTAAACTCTGACATAGTATATCGGCAACACTGTGGATGTAATGTGTCCCCAAAATAGGTGGTTTGCTCATGAAATCTCCTTGGGCTTGAAAGTAACTAGTTTTGATGTATGAAAGCGTTTCCTTACACGTTTTGCTTTTGTATTTTTGGTTCTGGAAAGGTAAAAGGAAACCCTCCAAATTTGTTAAATATCACTCTGCTTCAGCATGTGGAGAAATCCAGTGCTTCACAAACACATGCACGTGTGTTACTGTGTGTGTCCACAGAAAAGATTCACACACATGCACATACATGATTTTACCATTTTTAGCTTGCAGGGTTTTAATTACGTATTCACATCAGGATTCCCACGCTTACCGCATGTGACTGTGCAGGCCCCAGTCATCGCATTTAATCAGCCAAGCATAAAATACCGTTAGCCGTATCTCTCTTTCTCTTTTCTCTCCCTGTCTCTTCCCTCTCAGCCTCCACATCTCACCGCCATCTGTAACTTGATATTTTTATCATTTCATACTCAATCCGTAACTGGGGTCCACCTGCAGCTGTTCATTCAGTCTGCGGCTCTCTGGTGCCCTCTTGCTCGTCTACATTCATCTCCGCCCTGTAAGATCAGTCTGACTCCAGCTGCCTGCAGTCTCCAGATGGTCGGTCTCATGACAGCCAGAGAAATGGAAAGGAGATTAGAGCGGGAGATAGAGACCGAACATAAACATGCTTTCTGTTTGGAAGTATTTATATTCGTCATCCCAGCAGATAAACCATTTTCATGCACCATATTTCAGCGCTGCAACATAACTCACAGTACTCTAACTGCTATTCTTGGTGACTTAAGGTGGACTAAGATAAGTTAACATAAGATAAGCCTTTATTGATCCCCAGAAGAGATTTTCTGGCGTTGCAGCAGCACAAAGACATAAACAAGAGATATAAACAGATACAAACAACTAAGCAAAACAATATTAGAAGCATATATAACAAGCCTAAGAATAGATTTTGAAACTCTTTGACACAGAATAGGCTAAATGTGTTAATTTTGTTTAAAATTTTGAGAGTGCTGGAGATGTTCTGACAGTATGGCATTTTGAAATAAAAAAAACAATTTAGCAATTATGGGTAGTAGTAACATATATAGTAATAACAAATGTTTATAACACATTGTAATGTGTCAACACAGTGTAACTTGTGAAATGTCATTAAGAGATCAATAAAGTCTTGTATTTATCTATGATATTATTATTAAATGTAATTGTTGATTATTATGAATGTAGTGGAGTAGATATTTAAAGTAGCAGTAAATGGAAATAGTAAAAAGTAAAAGTACCTCAAAAGTGTACTTAAGTGCAGTACTTGTACTTACACTTAATAGATAACAACATATAATAAACAACATATAGATATTTATTGTATTATTTATGTAATATAACTAGATTTAAATTATCATTTCAATATTTTTAAACCTGGGCCCTATTTTCACATATTTTGTTGTCTAAATGACCAGTAGGTACAAAAAGTTTTGGACTCTTCTCCCTCGTTTCCTCCAGTCAGTGTTGTGTACGTAGAGGAGCTGCTAGCAAGACTTTATTTCCTAACGTTACTCCAACACAACAAACTCCTCTCTCCAACTCTGACTCCCGTTCCACCGGGTTTCACCGGAGTCCTTCGTAGGGATCCTTTCTATGATGTTTTCAGTCACCTGGTCTAACAGTCTGAGCCTGTCGGTGTCAACAAGAAGCACATTTTGTGGACGTATTTTTGATGGGTGCAATTGCCACGAAGGAATACGTAGCAGCCACTGCAGCCAAAGCATCTACTGCACAGATTCAAAACGTTTTGTACCTACTAGTCATTTCAACATCAACATATTTGGAAAAAAAGCCAGATTTAAAATACCGAAATTATCTTTTAAGCTTCATATAAAATATGAAGACAAGTTTTATATGATTACAGCGTCATTCATTAATTGTTTACACACCAGTTACAGATGCTTCATACGAGGAGTTGTACAATAATAAACACCCCAAAATGTCCCCATGTCTGCTTACAACCACATTATAGTGTGTTTATAAATCATTTGTTATACCGTCTGTCAATGATAAATAAGAGTGGTTAAAATAGTGTTACCTCATAGGTTATATATTTATTTAATATTAGTTTTAACTTTGAGAGCTGTTATTGTACAAATATGCACCAAAAATAAATACCTCCTGTACAACTTCTGTTTTTGTACAGTACTAGTGTTGTTAGCATAAACAGAACTTAGACCCTTTCTCCTTGAAATTGTTATTTTCTGCTCTGCCAGTGAATTATTATAATATAAAAGTAGCGTTGTTATTATTATTAACTGAAAAGTTTAAGCTCACTTAATCTTGACAAACAAACAGGCAATGAAAAAGGCTGGAACAAACAGCAGACTGTTCAATATGCTTTAAATTGACACGCTTTAAGGAAACTGAAAGGATCGACCTAATGTGTCCGTCATTAAAAATGAAAAACGTTTTTGCAGCTACAACAGAGAGAGCAGGGATTTGGTCTCTGTGGAGGAAAACGCACGTTGTAGAGCGTTTATTTATTTATTATTTATTACATCTGCGTCTTCTCTCCGCTCAGCCATGTTACTGTAGGCTGTGATGTAATCCTGCACATGTCAGACACTGTGTGTGTGTGTGTGTGTGTGTGGTGATGATGATGACGATGATGACGATGCCTGGCTGGACAGAACATTGCTTTAATTAATGAACGGTTGACTTGAAATCAGCCTCTCTTTTTTTGTGCCGTCACACATCTGTTGTATCCAGAGCTGAAACGATTCGCTTAGTTGATTAGTCTAATTAATCAGCAACAACTTATTTAAATTTTTATTTTATTGTTTATTTGAGAAGGGATGTAAATGTACGACTTAACCACAGGCAGGTTTTCATCGGTAGTTATTTTGCCTGATGTTGTCTAAAATAATAAAACTACTACAATACAATAAAAAAATTGAAAAATCTGCTAAACAACATGAGCAGATTAAGACAATTAATTGTTAATTGTTTGTCTTTTTATAAGTGGTGGAAGTACTCAGATATTTTACCTAAGTAAAAGTAGCAATACCACAGTGTACAAATACTATTACAAAAAAGGCCACATATTGTATGATTAGATTATTATTCCCCATGCATTAATGTAAAAGCAGGATTTTACTGCTGTAATAGTTGAGCTGGAGCTTATTTTGAACTATTTTGTATCAGTTAATGATTATTTTCATTATGGAATAAATAGTAATTCTGAAAACACTGAGAAATGTCATCACAATTACCCAAAGCCCAAACTGAGTCAAAGTAAAATAATCAAAATAAAAGGTGCAAATCTTCACATCAAGTGTTTTTGTTTGAAAAATCACAAACATCATAAATGTTGCCAATTAATTTTCTGTTAATCGACTGATTGTTTCAGCTGTACTTGTATCAACTGTTGGATATTTTAATTTATAACAAAACATATTTTATAAACTCTTTGTTGTATGTTTTGTTTGTAAAAATCTTGATTTGTAAAGTAAAAAGTACAATATTTCCCTCTGAGTAGAAGTATAGAAGTAGCGGAGTAGAAGTATAAAGTGGCATGAAAAGAAAGACTCACGTAAAGTACAAGTACCTCAAACTTGTACATAAGTGCAGTATATTTACTTAGTTACATTTGTTTTGTAGTATTTATCTTCGTCATTCTACAAGCCTTTTTCGGTCGGCTTCTCATTTGTGGTTATTTGCTGGTGTTCTTGGTCTTTTCTGAATATTAATGGGTTTTGGAGTAATAAACCAAAAGAAGCTGTTTAAATACATCACATCTACGTAATCACCATTTTTCATCGTTTTCTAGACCAACTGATTAATCTGTTGATTCATCGATAAATCAGTGATGCCCCAGTTAGATCGTCTGTGCGCAGACGCAACAACACATCATAAGAGACGACAACGAGAATGGCTCGTTGTTTTTATCAGACCTTGTTATATTAAACAAAGGTGACTGGTGGCACCAGCTGACTGTTGTGTTTGCTGTGAGTCATGTTAAACACTGAATGAAAGGTGAATCTTTTAGAGGAGTGTGTGAACATATGGTGTCGGAGAGTGAGGAAACAAGATTGTGAGCAGCAGAAAGGCGGCGGAGGGGGGGGGGGGGGGGTATGTTGTGGGAGGAGCTTCATCTGTGCTTACATAATGGAAGCGCTCGGCTTCTTTAACCCAACTGTGACAGAGAGAGAGAGAGAGAGGCTGCTCAGGCGACACGCTCTCCATTTCCCTCTCGCAGCCGTGCACGGCGGGGGGTGAGAGCTGATGGTTTATTGATGCCCAGCTTGTGTTAGTCTGTGTGTGTTATGCTGTAGATAGAGGGTGAGTGCTTGTATACACACTGCTGTTGTTTAGCAGCTGAACGTGGGTTTAAATCTGGCAGCAGTGAGCCTGTAGGTATGGACATTGCTGCTCTGCATCAGGGTTACTCCACTAAAATCTACTCACCTCACTACCAGGTAGGATTGTTTTGTTTGTTTTTTTCAAACAAAATCAGTGCAGAATGCAAATAGGACATGTTAAAATCACTGTAGGCAGGAAAAGGTGGTGTTATTCATATCTCTAATTAGCTCTTTTAAATGATTGTGTTTCTCAGTATAAGATTTCACCGTGTAGCCTGCGCTTGTGACCCAGCGGACAATCTGTGCACGTTTTGCATGTTTGTGTATATTTATGTGTGCATGTGAGCGTGCTCTGTAGTACTACATCTCACTTCAGAGGTGTAAATAAACAAAGATGTGTTAATAAGTCTGAAACTCACGTGCAAACGGTGTCCAGAACAGTGTTGATGACACACTTGACTATGTGTTAACGTGCAAAAAGAAATATCCTGTAGACGACTGACAGTGTGAATCGTTACACATTACATTTTAAAAAATAAAATCTTATTCTGTCTGAAGTCAGTCGCAGCAAAGGCATTGATTTGAAAGTCATACTTGTTAATTAATTATCGACTGTTGCTATTTTAAAGCTGCTGGGATGACTGCACTGCACGTGTCTGAAAAGGCAGTTTGACCTGCCAGGAAGGATTTTTGATTTGTGTTTAGAAACCCAGATATCCGACTTGATTAAAGAAACAAAAATTTTTGCAAGAGATGAAGTTGGAGTAACTGACGTCTCCGGGACTTTTATTTTTAGTTTCACGTGGACTGAACTCGTTCTGCTGTCTGCTGACTCATTGTGAATATCAAGGCGTTGTGTATTTTAAGTATTAACTGCGGTTTCATTCTTAATGACCCAAATTTCTCTTGTCTGACTGCAGCTTGTCTTTGGACGTAAAAGCTTTTATATGAGAATATGGCAATATGACGTTGAGTATACTACAGAGTACAGCTGAAACGATTTGTCGATTAATTAGTAATAAGTGTTGACAGAATGAATCTGCAACTTTTTCAGATAGTTTTTGGGGGGAGAAGGTGGCATTTTAAAGCCTTTATTAAACATCAGATGTCGTTTTTTCCGGGGTGCCCCAATCAATTTTGAGAATTGGTTAAGAGTTCAAACATTTGCAGGTTCCAGCTTTTGTAATGTGTAGATGTCCTGTTGTTCTTTGTCTCATAGTTCATTTAATATCTTTGGGTTTTGGACTGCGTCACCTTGGACTCTGGGAAATGGTGATGGATTTTAACATACCGCCGCATTTTGAGGTTTTCTTCAGTATCAAAGTAATCCAGTAATAGTTGTCTGTGCATTCATGGGCACGTTACAAACAGAAAGTGCTAACAGCTAATTCTGCATACTTTTAATGGTGGCAATTTGCCAAAGTATGAACAAATATTGGCTAAACCCAGCGCTCAAATAAGAATAGCACTGAGTTGATAAATAAAGTAATACAGTAGAAGGACAACCAGTTCTTCCCGTGGGGAAGAAAACTCAGATATCCTCTTTAATATGCAGAGATGTAACTCTGGACAGGATTTAAATTATAGGAGAACCAGCCAGTTTGCTGAAAAACAGTCAGTTATGACTGCTGTAATTATTATTTCTGGGGCGAGGGTGAAACATTACCCTCATATACTCTCCAGACCAGATTAAAATCACTGACTAGCGCAGGTGATGTCAAAATCAACCCACCTCCCCTAGAAAAACAAATCCCGCCTGAATAGTCTTAAGTGCTAAAACAATTTGTTTTATATTATTTATATATATAATATTAAGAAGAGCAAAATAATGTATTCTGTAGTTCTAACTTGTTGTGTATATATTCTTTATGACCTCCTTCCTTTTCTGCACTTCTTCCCTTTTCCAGCTCGAGGCTTTGAAACAGCAGAACTCCAAATACCAAGAAGAGCTCAGCTTGACGAAGGAGCGGAGCAGCTCAGAAAACCAGCGCATCGGAGTTCTCTGCAAGGAAATGTGAGTACCGAGGATAACTAATGTGTTTTTTCCTGGTGTGTGTCTCCTCTAAAGGTGACCCCAGCCAGCCAGTTCATTAGACTGGCCGTGGTGAATTTATCCTGCGGGGTCTTTACTGATGATTAAAAATCCAGTCTGCATTTTCAAGCTCTTACTTCAGCACAAAGAAGGGACTATGCAAATGTGGCTCAATTTAATTGCATTTAGACAATAGAACCAAGTAGAAACTGTCCTCACTGGTCTCACACTGAAATGTGTTATTAAGTAGGCTCCATCTGTGACTCTCCAGAGAGATGTTTCCTCTTGTTAATATGCTGTAAATTGTTGTGTAAAGGGCATAATTAACCAGAGAGTGCCATTATGTGATTATGGATATGATGGTGGAGTGGATGCACAATACTGATAATTACAGTAAGTACACCCCCTTGGGTGTAATGGCTGAAAACGTTTGTTTAAAATGTTTTGTTCCGTAAAGGACCAAGTTTAATATCTTTAACTACAAATCATGTATGTTTTTGCTGAATTTTTAAAATTAGACTTTCAGATGTACTTTTACTTCTTTTCAGCCAGCTTTTGGTTTCCATTCATGTCTCTATAAATTAAGTGGATTCTTGAAAGCATTTACTCATGAAAAACGTTATTACGTTTATTTAATAATTACTCTGCGCCGTAAGTAATTGGATAAATTACTTGTTATGTTACTTTCAGTATTCAGCCCAATTCTGCCTTTACACGACTCCAAATCCTCCACACCCACACGTCACATCTCTTATTAAACACATGTAGAAATGTAAGCAGACATTTTGGTTTAAGTGGACAGCTTACGGTTAACAGGGATTTCCTTATATTCACCTCTGTGGGTGCACGCAGCAGTCGTCACGTACGTACATTAAAAATGAATGCATTATCGCTGTGCATTCACTCACAAGCATTTAGTTTGCTCTTGTTGATGAAATCACCAGAGTGGCAGTGTTGACGTTGTCAACAGTCTATTCTCATCTTAAAGTCTATATGCCGCCATGAAAACAGGTCATCAGCGTTCTCTGTGTGGTGGATTACACAACTCGAGTTTGCTAATATATTTTAAAGTGTAGAAATTAATGAAAACCAATGGATCCGTGTAGCAATTGAAAAATGTGTTCAGACTCGTAGAACACTGCCTCTTCTTTTGTAAAATGGTTCACTGTGATGTAAAGTACTTAAAACATTAAAACCCACTGGTGTGGTCCTTTAAGACCTCTGTGCCAAGATAAGGGTAAACATGATAAAGCAAGATATAATACCTACTGCGTTCATGGCTTCCACAGTGATGACAGCAACAAATTCATAAAAATTTTAATATTGACTGATCGCTCAGCTAAAACAGTTTTTTGAAGCAGGGTAAAAATACTCCATCTTTTTACTTTGCTGTGTTGTGGTGGATCTCCAGCCTGAGGTTGAGGTCTATTATAGACCGTGTGTGTGTGTGTGTGTGTGTGTGGAAGTATGTGGTGTGTTTTGAGTCTTTACATCATCCCTCCATGCCTCCCCTGATTCATCAGAGCCCCGAGCTGTGACGCCACGGCTCCAGATGGATCTAACTGGCTGAATTACAGTCATCAATATGTAGCATCCTGTAGGAGGAGCAGCAGATGGAGACGGAAACAAATATCCTCAGTCACAGTGAAACAAGTGCAGCGTCAACCCCTTTAAGGAGCAGAGATTTGTCTGCTTTTCTGTGTGTGCCTTGTTAAAAACTCAAACGTTGATGTCTTCCCTCCACCCTCATCCCGTCTTGTCCCCACAATGTGTTCCTCCATCCTTTCTGAGGCACGTCCTTCCTCAGTCTGCTGCTGTTATGTAATCGCTCAGTTTCTCCTCCTAGGACCGCCTGGCTCCAACATGGCCGCTGCTCACGCTATGACATCAGAGTGTGTGTGTGTGTCTTGTATTAAACTGTGTGCATTTGTGTGGAATCAATGTGGCCTTTGTGTTTGCTGAGAGAGCAGCTGTAGGCACCACAGCTCAGATGTGTGTTTGGTATTTTATATTATTTTGGGGTAGGTCAAACCGAGATTGGTTTCTCTGTTAAAACAGTTAATATCAAATATATTTATTTTCATCAATCATTTGTTGCAAGGATTTGGTCAAATGAGGAAATTAAGGGATCTTTTTTTACAAATCCATCCATTTGTTACAAATGTCAACCTCATGGTGGCGCTACAGGAAACACTCAGGAGATCAGCAGAGTCATTAGGTACGTTTGACTTCATGCGGCGCTTTGTAGCGCTGACTTAACGTGATGCATGCTGGATTTAACATAATGCACGCTAGTTAGAAATTTTCTCCGGCCGCACTAAGTTGAAACCACCTTTTTGCCTGATCTCACAGTACTTGTCTGTGCAAATGCTGCAAGATCAGTCATTGTTCTAAACTCGTGCACTCTACAGGAGGTAGAATGTGCCCGACTTGAGCCCCAGTGTTTTTATACCTCACCCCTGCATCATCAGTCATTGTCAGCGCACATTTGACTATCGAGTGAAAATCAGCGAAAGTCATCTCGAACCCACCTACTATTTGTCACAACCTGGCTCAAGGGCCATGAACAGTGAGAACAGTGAGGTATCACTCCCACAGAGTGGCCTCACTGGATCACACAGGGGCCGTCACATATGTTTCACCCCTCTTGGGACCATGAATGTCTGCACATCCAATAATTGTTATCTAACATAAAATGTCAAATGTGCATGATCTTTAGCTTGTGATGAATTTTGCCCCAAAGTGGCCAAAAGATTTCTGTATTTTTTTTGTGAAGACATTTTTTTTAAATTCAGTTTGGTGAAACATGGAGCATAAACCAACAGTAAAGGTATTAAAAAAGATATTGCTGATCTCTGGTCTCACCTAATTAAATATGGGTTAAATAAAATAAAACAACGACAGAGACGTGGATAGGTGGAGTCGGGCACAGCAGAGGCGTTTTATTTACAAAGTCCACGTAAGAAACTATATTTTTTTATTGTGCAGTTTCTCTTTAACTCAGCCTCCTCCTCACTGTTGTGTTTGAGTGTCGTGGGTGTTATAGCGGCATGGCCAATGTTATTATACAGCAGGCAGCTAAATATTTCACCCAGATGGTGCTCAGACCGAGCTATTAGTCACACGTAGCTTCAGAGTTCTTCCTTTGACACAAATCCTAAGAATGACCCACATGGCATACAGCAAGTCATTTTGGTTCCAGCATCCAAAAATATCCAGATTCATAAATTCCCAGACAGAGCTGCGTGTGCTGCCGTCTCTTGGTCTAAATTTGATTATATGCTGAGATTACAGTATCAGTTTTATAATATCTGGATGGCATTTTTCATTTGTGGATGCGTACTGTATCACTACTGTATCTTACCACTGCAGAGTGAATAAACCACTGTGGGTTTTACAGCTGTCAAATCCTTTAAGATGTTTAAAATAGGACGGTGTAGTAGTCTACATAAGCAGCAGACATAGACCAACAGATGGTTTCTGAATGATGAGAATTAGTATGTAGATTATATCAGTGTGTTCAATATAGCACATTTCCTGTCACAGTTAAATCATCTCAGAACATTTAGTATAGTCCACATTAATTTTGCTGCTTAAAAAAAATGCTAATAAAGAAGTAACCGGCTTAAATAAATCTTATATTTTGAACCAACTGGACCACCAATGGATCAGATTTGTAATGTGAAAGGGCTCGATGGTAGTGATGAACCCATATAAGAGAATCATAACCTGACTCTGCAGCTTCCTTCAGCTCTACAGAGCTCTTTAGTGTCTCTCAGCTCATTGTTTTTGGTTTTACGGCCCTCAGTTTAACTGCTTTGGTTCACTCTCACTGCTCAAGTCATTTCAAGCCACAGCAGGCAGCCATTTTCAGAATAAAAGCTGTAAAAACCCACTGTGCTCTACCTGCTCAGCAGCAACAGCAGACAGACACAGTTAGCTGGTGAACATAGTGGAGCATTTAGCAGCTGAAGAGACAGATAGTTTTCTCTTTTAAAAGACATAATATTGGTAGAAAGAAGTCTACGTTTCTGTTTGTAGAATCAATCAGACAATCAGCTAATATATTAATGGACTAATCGTTGCAGCTTTAAGTGAAACCATAAAAGGCTTTGGAACATTTTCTCTTTTCAGTCCTTCTCATTTCACTGATTTTCACCCTGCTATTGACATGATGAGATAAAGACATCATGCAGAATGTTTTTGGATGTACTGCAGTATGTTAGCAATGTTGTGTGCATGTTTAACAGATGTGAACACAGTAACATCTGGCAACACACCAGATTTAAGCACATAGTTGTGATGGTGCCACAGATACACAGAGACCTTCAGTTCAGCGCTCACAGTGTTTCACCTCCCCTCTTCTTTCTTCTCCCTCTCAGTGAGGAGCTGAAGCTGGCCTCCCAGAAGTCTCAGCATCTTGAGGAGGTGACTGACCTTTCCAAGTTTTGTTATATAAACGACTTCCCATCCTGTTGTAGATCAGGGTTTGTTAAGTCAGAACGGTGATTTGATTAATAGGTTTTGGCGTAGCGAGGATTTACCTCCTGCTGTGACGGAACTCTAAAGCTCAGACGGGTTTAGCTTCTATAAATACCTCTATATTTGTGTGTGTTTCCTCCCAGCACAATGAAGACCGTAACAGTCAACAGCCAGACATGAAGACCAGGTAAGAAACTATTTTATGTATATATCTTTATATCATGCCATGCTCTGACTTGTACACACCTGATGCATCCAGTAATGCACTAGTATGCGAATGAATGTCACTAGTTGTTGATTCAGTTGATAAAACTTCTGTGCTTTTACTTAAGAAATTGAGTTTTTTATCTACTTCAGTATCTGATTACTTCTTCACCAGTGTC